TTTGAAAGAACTGTGCATTACATTTGTTTCTTGAAAAATTATAAAGTCTGAGCATATTTCACAAATCCAAAACCAAATACAGATTACTATGATAAAAAAAATTATAGTAAGGGGAAAATGTAGGGAGGGTAAGATTAGTGAGTACTGGCATTACATACTACAAAACAGACTAAATCTCCCAGCTCTTTCTTTTAATGAAGTGTTTTAGTAGTTATGAAATTACTATTAATAGTTTCAGTTGTTACAAATTACTATTCATACAATTGGGCCTTCAGTTCATTGCTGTAATCATTCAGTTACACAAAAGATCATTTGGAAAGGACACCTGGGGCTTTGATGTTTAGTATTGTCATAATAAAGATGAAACACAATTAAGGACCCAATCTAATTTATCAGTATACATTAGTGCATGGTTATTATTTTTAATGATCAAAAAAATTAAACCTATGCAACAAGTATGCCATGAAAGGCATGAAAGTAAATTATTTTTTCTATCTTGCTGTAACTCACTATGTCAAAAGATACTTCATTTGACATTATTTACAATATAAAAGTAGTTTTCCTAACAAGGAAAATAAAATACATTTCTGTAACTATACCTATTATTAGTCAAGTTTTCAAAAACCACTTTCTAAAATTTCCTAGTAGTAGTAACAATAATATCACTGGGCCTTTTATATTAATAAAAAATTTAAGTTTAAATGCCCAAATTAATTCAGCACTATTAATATACTTGAAAGAACAAACTAATATGAGCATATTTTAATGCTTGCTGCTTTATAGAAAGGATATATAAGGGTTTATATTCACAGAATATGTTAACTCTTAAAACTCTTTTTGTGAGAACAGCAATAGTTTCATGCAAAGAAAGAACAACAAAAATTATGGGATCTGCAATCACTACAATGTAGAGACCCTTTTTTTCTTTTTACATGAAGTAAATGTGGCTCTTTTGGCATTAACCCTAACTTTTCTACAAATTCAAAGGATTATTTAATAGATAGCAAGTATTATATAGATCACTAATGTAAATTGTCTCAATTTGTTCTGCTTTCTGTAACACTGAAGTAGAAATTGTAACACAGAAAATTACTTTCTTCTATGTGTTCAGTCACTCTAAAATAATGCCCTATCCTAAACTTAGGAATTAAGCAGAAAAGTCTTTACCAACAAAGGAATGGTTGAAAAATATTAAATTAGTCTGATTCCAAAACTACCATATCACTCTTGGTATCTCTACTTTCCAGGCAAAATATCAGAATCCTATTAGCTTCCATTCTCATTAGAAGTGTAGTTTAAAATCCACTAACAATTACAACTACATTCTATACAAGTCCTCTCGTAAAAAGTTGTCTATCAATCAGCCTGAGGTCATACATCAGTGAGTACTTGAATTTCAGTGGCATATTGTTTTTAATGGCATCAGTAAACTAGATCTCGTGTATATTCTTGCAACCTTCTACACACAGTAATTTTAAACACTTTAAATGTGCCATCATAAATGTGGAAGAATGTTATTTAAGGATGAAGTATCAGGATGTTTGCAGCTTACTTTGAAATGATTCAATAGAGGGAAAAATGCACATTCAAATAGACACACATATAGGTAGAGGGAGACATAAAGCAAATATGGCTTAGACTATAGGTTATAGATACAGATTATAGATGGATATTCATTGTACTATTCTTTTAACTTTTCTGTGTTTGAAAATTTTGTGTTTTCAAGTATTTTTAAATGGGATTTTTATACTTCACTGGTTTATTTTTAAAAGTAGATTTTGAAGGTTTTATTTTCAAAGCATATGAAGCTTAAAAACATAAAGAGAATCTAGACTTCATTTTTCTAGAAATTACTTTTCATAGTTTATTGGGTGTTCCACATTTTCAATTTTCTTCATATTAGGTACTAATGTTTTCAGTCTGGACAGGCTATGAATAATTAATACTACTAACTGAGAAAACTCAAAGAAATATGAACTCAAGGAAATAACCTAGGTTTTATACAAAATGCTTTCCTTTAATCCTCTGTATTTTTCTGGATTTTCCCCAACATTCCGTGTTACTAGACACTAGCTCTATTCACCTATCCTCCTGAAAATTATCAGAGATCAGGGCCTGTCCTACTTAACTCTTATTTCAAACCCTGTGGGCGCTCAAAATTTGTAACAGTTCTTTTTTTTTTTAATGTGGGACATAAAGTTAACAGGGATGTGTGTCAAAGAACATCATAAATTGGTCAGTTTTCTGGTTGGTTTTTGTGTTCTTGTTTTGGGATTGAAGGTTTCAATGAGGAGCTATAGAAGCTTTAAGGTACCCCAAGCATCCAGAGAGCCTGAGACCTTTAGAAAATCCAATCAGAGTAGCCACTCCCTCTCCTGTCCAGATTTCCAGAGCACCAACATTTTGTATCATGGCCATCCAAAAGCCAGTAAAGCACCACTTGCCCCTAAAATTCCTGTATTCACTGTTGCAGCTGCTTTTTAAAACAAGGCTGCTGAATATTTCAATCCCCCATTTTTTTAGGCACATTTTAACTTAACAGTAGATTTAACCACCAGGAAATGAGAAAAATGAGGTTCTTATGACTATAGCTTCCACCAAAATGTCATATCTTCATTTAAGCAGTCCTTATTTAAAATTCTCTCTACTTTCATGGCATGAAAATCCCTTCAAAATGTATGCTATTAAAATGTCTAAATTTGGAAAACATCTGGCTTGTCAAATTATTTGGGTGGGGGGAGGGCTGTGGTTTTAAGTACATGGTTTGAGGTGGTATATTTGAAAAGAATTCACTTAACATTCTCTGGCTTCCTAGAGAACTGGCCGGGAAAACAAATGCATGTGGTGGTAGCTCACTGCTACCATAGAGAATCAATAGCCATCTATTTAATTTGCTAAGACAATGTAAATTAGTAACTCCAGCCAGATGTGTGATATACACATCAAACAAACTGCAACCTGTTCATTATGAAAATCCTGTCAACACACACAGAGCCACTTGATGACATTTCATGTAAGGCAGTTTCCACATTTGCAGTCACAAAGATTGTCCTAAGAATTGTTATACAACGAACTGGAGCTGAGACTCATAAAAAGGTAATCAATTTCAGCTTTTCATCCTCTGTGCTTCTGTGTGTTTATTTCTATTTTCATTCAGAGGTATAAAACATTCTGAAAAGTGCATGTCATGCTATTTTTCCTGCTGTAAATCACTTATCCTCATTACATCTCTTTAATCTGATGGAAAGTTGGTAGCCTCATCTTGCAGCTCCTAAGAACTGTAAAGAATGAGAGTTAACAGAAGGAAGAAAAGTACACTTCTCCACCAGAAAACAAAACAGAATATTTCAAAGTGACTCCAAACATAAATTAACTTTACCCATTGGGAGGTCGAACTTGCATTCTGATCATTGATATGGGTCTGTGTGACTTTATACCCTGCTGTTTGATAAAAAATGATTACTAACCACAGGCACCACAAGAGAACAGAGTGCATGCATAATGCTCATGATGTCTCAGACATACAAAGCACCTTCTTAAAGAATGTCCGTTTCCTTTCCATAGCAAGAAGACATAATTTTTCACTCTTTAATATGTCTGCTTCACAGTGGCTTATTTCATGGATTACACTTTGTCATTTTTCTTTTACACTTATTTTAATAATATGAAAAACTGCATTCGTAAAAATAGATGGTTGTGTCCACGATACCCAAAATATTGGTATGTTTTCGGCTCTGTATTAAAACCCACAGCTTTCTTGCTATTAAAAAAACTTAAGATATATATTTTAATACTGTTTACTAAAATGAAACAAAGAAAAGATTCTTCTTTATAACCAGCTATTGTTCTTGAATACTGAATTTTCACCTAAAGCAAGTCCATTTTCCAAGTCCATTGAATTAAATTTTCTTGTGAAACAGGGCACAGAGCAAATAGTCTTACTGCTAAGCATACTTCCAGCTACTACATTTTTAATTTAGCGATTTAAAAGGAGTGGACTGAATTTACCCCTCATGGCCTATAGTGTAGTTGATCCCAAGCAGTACCCCTTAGGTAACTTCCTAATGTCAAAATGGCATTTCTACTAAGAGCGCGGTGTGTTCATGCTTCCAGAGTAAGGAACTCCTGAGGTCCCCCCAAATCACAAGAATTTCAGCCTCTGCCAAAAAAAGGCAACTGCACACAGAAAAGGGTTCTGCATAAAGGCGTCAACCCTACGCAGTTCAGCTCTCACAAACATACAGAAGGTGCTTTCTGCGCGAGGAGCCCACCGGGCCACGTGACCAGCCTGCCTGGCCACACAGACAACGGGAAATGGAGATTGTTTCTAGAAAGCAAGAGGCTCCGATGCGGGCCCCGCGGCCGCCCCACCAGCCGCGTCGGCAGGTGGCACCGCGACGCCAGCTCCTCACCCAGGGATGCGGTCGCACAACGCGCAGCGCCTGGACGCTGGCCAAGACCCTCAGCGTTGGCTCAGGTCCCTGTGCTGCCTGGAGGTTAAAGCCAGGCCCCTCCTGGTCACTTACACCCTCTTTGTGGCTCAGGGAAAGAATCACTCTCTCAGAACTCTTTAACTTGGATTGGAGCCTCTGGTTAAAATTAAGAACTTCAAACCCAGATTTGAAAAAGTGAAACAGATGTCCTGTTTGTTAGCCATAAATGGCTCCGTACGTCGGGCCCTTTTCTCTCTTTTTTTCTTTATGCGGCATTAAGTTTTATTTAATGCAGAGTTCGCTTAAAAGGTTAAAAGAGAGAGAGTAGAAAGCAAAGATGGGCTGTGGATGGAAAAACTCCTAAATCTTCCTCTAGAATATAACGAAGGAAGGCTCTTCATAAAGATGAAAGTGCTCAAGCTGCCGTCTCCCAGGGCAGCCAGCACTCGGGGGGCAGAACCGGCGTTCCCAGTGGACTCCAGCCTCGCCCGGCCGTGCCCACTACCTGCACCCGCGTGGAGACCAGGGTCGCCGGGGTGGGCGACAGGGTCACGGACTCGCACTCACGTGAGGACGTAGTTGACGCTGACGATACAGTGCGGCCTGGAGGAGCGGCTGTTGTGCACGATGGTCGCGTAGCTCTGCACCCAGACCCAGCCGCCGTGCTTCGCCAGGAACCTGTAGTACTTGGTGGTCACCTGTCCCTTCACCAGCACTGAAGGGGAGACAGAGGCCGCTGGTGGGGCAGGAGACCGCTCCGGGTCCGGCCCAAGTGCAGCCCCTGGCGCTGGCGCGCAGGCCCCCTGCGGGCCCCGATAACCGCGCCCGGGCGGGCGAGCGGGAGGATCCGCACGTTCCCGGGCCAATTGATGACCCTGGTAATTTGCATCGAGTCCTGCGGTCCCTCGCGATTAGGAAAGGGCGAGGAGACACTCTCGGGCCTGCCCCAGTTCAATACTCCACCTACCCAGGGCAGGGTCTGGGCGGCTGAACCGACGCGCACGGGCCCTGCCCCGGGAGACTCAGCCCGAAGCAAAGCTACGGCAAAAGCTGACGCCGGTCATGCGCCCACGTTTTTGTTTTTGGTTTTTTGCCCCCATCTTTGGTGAGGTTTGCCGGGGGTGCTGGGGCGGGGGAGGGCGGGCTGGGGAAGCGGGAGAGCGTATCAATAGGAGAGTAAGATTCCTCCGGGGCATTTTCTGCCACAACCTCAGTCCGTGTCCCTCCTCCCGGGCGGGGGCCGCGGGTGCGACGGAAACCAGGTGCGGCCCCGCGTGCTAGCGGCCGCCGACGAGGCCCCGCCCCGCGCCCGCCAGGCCGCGCGCCCCGCCCCGGGCGCCTTACGCAGGTGGTGGGCGCAGCGCAGGTGGAAGGTGTCACAGCCGTGCACGTGGTGGTACAGGGTCTTCTCGATCAGGTCCTGAGGTTCGTACCCCGTCAGTTCGGCTACCCTGCAGAGAGGAATCCCAGCGGGCTGAGCACGGGGTGCGGGGAGGCCCCCCCCCACCCGGCACCGCCGCCGGAGGCCTGGCTGCCATCCGCAGAATGGGCCCAGAGGGCAGCCGAGGAGCTCTCGGTCACCGAGCGGGCGGCCCTCGCGCTCAGGGTGGCGCCCCCCGCCCTGGATCCCCCACCTGGCGTCCAGGAAGATGAGCTTCATGTCCAGGCTGGCGCGAAACATGAACATGTTGCTGTGCAGCTTGATCTCGGTGACGGCGCTGGGCGGCAGCGAGTGGCCCACGGCCACCAGGCCCACGTTCTGGTAGCAGCCGTCAAAAGGCGACATGTCCAGGCTGTACTGGCGGATCTTCAGGTACCCGCTGCAGTGGATGACCTGCGGCGGAGGGGCAGGCGGGGAGGCTCAGCCACAGCCCGCACACCATCCGAAAAGGCGGGGAAGGGATCTAAACATGTGAGACTCCTCAGCCGCAGGCGCCACGTGCGCCGCGCCCCGCACTGAAGCGCCCCAACTTACTGGTGCTCCAAGACATCTCAAGGGACCGGCTGTGTTCCCACACTGAACTCCCCTGGGGCTTGTAGAAATGCGGAGACCTGGGCCCTGCCAACCCTAACGCATCCGGAATCGCCAAGTGAGGCCCTGGAACCTGCATTCTAATCATGTCTGCTCTCATAGAGCAGGAGAACCGTGGCTTGGGGCCAAAGCTTCCGTCCCTAACCTCCCCGCGGGTCAGAATCTGACGCTGGGGGTCAACTAGGAATCCACCAAAGTCACCGACCGTTTCAGACGCTTTGCACACCCCTAGGGCCCATTATGGGTTCCACATTAAGAGTCCCAGCGGGCGGGCAGTACCCGGTCCCAGTGAGACTCAGCGTTAAAAGGTAGTTCCCGGTATTCGCAAAGCTCCAGGACGCCAGGCGGACGTCCAAGCCCGCAGCACTTTGACGCCTATGGGAGACGCCCCGTCGGGAGGTGCGGACAGAGACCGTCCCCGCCGAGCTTCACAGGCCTCTGGTCCCAATGCCTCCCCCTGCACCCCGCTAGGCGGCCGGAGCAGCCGCGAGGCGTAAACCTTGCCTCTCAGCCACACACCTTGTACCCGCCGCAGGTGAGGCCCGCGTTCCTTTTGGCCAAGACGCACTTCATCCGCAGGAAGAAGGAGCGCTCGATCTCGTACTCTGGGAGAGAGGAGCGGAGGGAGGCGCAGGGCATGAGGCCGGCGGCGTGGCGCCGCGGTCCCGGCCTGGCTAACCGGGGAACGGTCACTAACCGACTGTCCGAGTGCCGCAGGCACGCGTCCGCCTTACCCTGGACGAAGTGAGAGTGGTACGGCTGATGGGCCGTGAGCACCGCCGTCATCTCGTCGTGGTCGGCCGGGTGGATGTACTCGTAAATGCTGTTCCCGGTCAGCTCTACCTGCAAAGAGGAGGGTATCACCTTCTCGGAGGTGGTGGAACGTCCCGTGGAGGGGCTGGAAGTTTGGATCAGGGGGTCACAGGACGGACTGTGAGGATAGGAACCAGAACCCCAGAGTCGGCACTGAGTTCTAATTCCAGTTCTGATGCCTGCTACCTGTCTCAGTCTATCTGAGCCTGTTCCTTTATTTAGGAAAGGCAGCAATGATAACAGTAACTGTAGCAGTAATAGTATAGTCACAGTGGCTCCCCAGCAATGCTCTGGTGAAGACATCCTGACAGAAGTGCGTAACCGCCTCCCACGATGTCTGGCTTATGGTAGGCGCTCAAAAAGGTAGTTATCCTTTGGACTTGGAGTGTGTGCTAGAGGATGAGGGTGCAGAGGGACAGGGAGATCCAGATCTCCTGTCAGCTAAGAGGAGAACTGCACCCCCAATCCCAGAAGTGCACATAGACAAGCTCTGGGAAAGCCCCGCCACCCCCGCCCACCCCTGTCCCCCTCTCCCTCCAGCTCTGGCTGTAAATATTGAAGGCTGGAGGTGTGGACCACTCACCTACCTGAGAAAGGCCCAGGTGCACTGAGGCTGTTTCCGAGATGTACATGATCTTCCCATCTGGGGCCACCACAAAGATGAAGCCATCCAGGGTCTGTGGAGAGAGCAGCAGAGCTGATGGAGAGACCTCTGGGCCATCAGAGAAACTGGGTAGGAGGCAGACAGAAGTTAGAGATGTACAACCAGAGAGCAGAGACATGGAGTAGAGGGGCTGGCAGGGAACAGGACCTAGCAACCCAGCCACAGGAGCCCCTCTTGTGTTCATTCCAACTTTGCAAGCCCCTGCATGGAGCATACATACTAGGAGAGACCCAGAGGAAGTGGTGGATGGGGTCACCTCCCTCCAAGACTCAGGATCCACCAAAAAAAGACAAAGCAGACAGATCCGTGATACACGCACATCAACATTTTGAAGATGGGGAACTCATGGCCTGTGATTCGAAGTGGGTTAGGTTTTTGGGGTGATGGGCATGGAAGAACTAGAACCCTCATGTGCTAGTCTTGGAGGACACCATAGTTGCAGCATCCCGTAATGGAAAGAGTACTAGCAGAGTTCGGACAACAGCAGGCAGTGGGTGATGTGGAAGGGCTGGAAGTCTGAAAAGTTTGTGGATAGAAGGCAGCTGGCCAGTGGCTGGACAAAGATCCAGGCAGCAGATCAGCAGATGCATAGAAGGGTGTGTGTGTGTGTGTGTGCGTGCGTGTGTGTGTGTGTGCGTGCGCGCGTGCGTGTGTGTGTGTTTACACTGAGGCATCAAACTGTGTGTGTCTGTTTACACTGAGGCGTCAAACTGCAGGCTCTCCAGGAAGCAAGGTCTTAGGCACCCACTGTCCCTTTATCTCTGTGAATGAGGCTCTAGTCCAGGCAGTGCAGACATAAGGAGGAGTCAGACCCTGAGCAAGGAGCTGGAAGTCCAGCAGGGGCGACTGGCCGGAAGACGACAGAAGGGCCACACCTCTGAGTCGGCAGTGCTGTGGGGGTCCTGAGGCTGGGTGGCCAGAGGCCTGGGGGAGAATCAGAGGGGCCTCAGAAGAGCTGTTTGAGCAGAGCCTTGAAGAGGAAGCTTGAACTGGAGAAGGAAGGAAGCTTCTCCTGAGCAGAGGGAATGACAGGACAAAGCAAGGGCTGGGGGAGGGCAGGCCCGGCGCACCCAGGGGTGATCAGTCTAGTGTCCCAGAACTGGGGCTGAGGACCTACACCAGCGCCGGACTTGGAGACTGTGAGGTGCCCATGTGGGGAATTTGGAAATGCTCCTGTAGGTATCAGGGTTCCAACAAAGTTCTAAGCGGGGGGAATAGCATGCTTAGTTGTGTGTGTGTGTGTGTGTGTGTGTGTGTGTGTGTGTGTGTGTTTCTGGAAGAATGTGAACAGTGATCTACAGGAGGAAAGAGTGGGGATGAGATTGGAGGTGGTCAAGCCTGAACTGGGGTGGCTATGGTGGAGATGGGGAATGCAGAGTCTAAGTCAGAGATGGTTCTGGCCCCAGAATTTACGGTATCAGAAAGAAAAGCTGAGATTGACTTCAAGATCATTAAATAGGGGCTAACACCATTAACCAAGATTAAGAATTTAGGGATACATGGTGAGCTTCTGTCTGAGTAGAACTCTGCAGGAGGGAGATAGTGAGTTCTTGCTTTGGAGATCCTAAACTTCAGCTGTATGCGGATTTCCATTTGGACATGTCCATTTGGCAGCAGGAAATAAAGGTCTGGTTCTCAGGAAGGGTGTCTAGACTGGAAAAACCATCTAGAGTCAAACAAATGTGGGGAAAGGAGTTGAAGTAGTGGTGGTGGTGTTGGTGGTGGCTGAGATCACCCAGGAGGCCTTGAAGCTGTGACAGGAGCAACAGAACTGAAGCTTTGGGGAAATGCCAGCATTTATAGGCAGACAGTGGTGGGGAAGCAGAGGAGAAAGCAGAGAGAGAGAAGAATTCAGGAAATTGTGCTACTTGAGAAACTGAGGGAGAGTGACAATGTCAAGTACCACCAAGTGCACCTCCATTGGGTTTTGCCCAAATGCCATTTGCTTCATGCGGTCCTCCGCAACTGTCCTCATTTTAAATGGCATCACTCAAACACAGCCATCTTCCTTGGCTTATTTTTCTCCATAGTACCTACACCTTCGGTTCTACTGTGCAGCAGACCTGTGTGGGTTTGCAAGCCTGCTCTGCTTAGACTGTAAACTCCGTGAGGGCAGGGCTTTCTGTCTGGTACACAGTTGGCCCTCCCTTAATTTTGGAATGAATGGGGTCTGGTCAGATAAAAGGTGAGCATCTCAGCTGGATATAAAAATGTGATGGAGCCTGGGCAGAGCACAACAGCTGGGAAAGATGCCGCATTGCAAGGGGGTAGGAGGTAGGAAGGCAGAGTGAGCAATGAAGATGCAGAGTGTGATTAAGGCCTTTGAGATGCTGGGATGAAAAAGAGGAAAATGATTGATCAAGAGCTAGGAGTGAGGGACTGCTTGGGTTTTGTTCTCTTGTTTATACTGAAGAGGGATATTAGCTGGGAATATGGGAAGATTCAGGGAGGAGGGTCAGTTGTTGGGACAACTAATGGAAAATACCTGAGAAAGAGGACGGTCAGTGACTTTATATTTAAATGCAGAAGTGTGGAGGCCAGGCCTGTAAGGGAAGGCTTGCACAAGGCCTCTGCTCTGTGAAACTAAATTCTCATGGGCCTCTGGGATTGAGGGACAGAGAAGCAGGGGGCAGGCAAGGGGGAGCATGCCAAGAGATGCTGCCCATGCCTAGCCCACCAGGGAGAACCGAATCAGATTCCCCAGTGCTGCTTAGGTTTGGGCTTCCACGTGAGACGCTGGAGGCAGACTTGAATAATAATAATAATAATAATAATAATAATAATGTCACTATGAGCATGAGTGTACAAATATCTCTTCAAGACCCTGCTTTCACTTCTTTGGGATATACCCAGAAGTGGAATTTCTAGATTTGCTGAATCATATGGTAGTTCTATTTTTAATTTTTTGAGGAATTGCCATACTTTTTCCATATTGGCTGTACCATTTTACATTCTCACCAACTGTGCAAAAAGAGTTCCAATTTCTCCCTGTACTCACCAACACTTTTTTTCCTAATAAGTGTGAGGTAATATCTCATTGTGGTTTTGATTTTCATTTCACTAGTCACTAATGATTAGTGATTTTGAGTGTCTTTTCGTGTCCTTGTTGACCATTTGTGTATCTTCTTTGGTGATATGTTAGCTCAAGTCCTTTACCCATTTTTTAATTGGGTTTGCTTTTCATTATTGTTGTCATACAGGACTTTTAATACCCTTCTCTCCCCCCAGAGTTCTGTCCTTTGGGTTTTGAGACACTGTAAGTTCCCAGGCAGCTTCTATGTGTTTTTGACCAGTTCTTTCTCCCCAGTTCTGAAGTCTAGATGCATTGACCAAAGATGGAAAGGTATCTGAATTTATGTAATTACAATAACAAACCCAAAGATGAAAAATTATTTACTGATAACTACTATGCACACAATTAATAACAACAATGCTGACAAATATCTCATGGTTGAGTGATTCCTATGTGCCAGGCATTTTGTACCCATTACTCATTGAATCTAGAAAGTCTGTAAGGTCGGTAGTATTATTATTAATTTCATACTACAGCTGGGAAAATTGAGCCACAGAAAGTTCAGGTGACTTATCCAAGACTTGCAGTAAATTGTGGAAGAAGCTAAGAAGGGTTCCTATTTGTGAGAAACCTATGTACAAAAGAGAAGACGGACTAGGACACTAGAGAAAATTAGAAATAATGCAATATTAATAAAAACACTAATTATTATATCAACACAACTACTATATATGGACTTAACTTTTTACTTTTATGAACAATCTTTATGACCTGCCTGCACTGCCCTGCAAATGACATGCATGAGACATTACAAAAGGGGAAGTCATGACCACTACTCTGAAGGACCAGCTACTCAGCAATCATTTAAATGTTCCTCTGTTCAAAGTTTTGGAGTAGGTGACTTGGGTTAGAAGGATCCAGTATTTCTTTGCCCTTAAGGAACTTATAATCTTTTGGGAAGATATGAACACAGGAAATTTTTATAGTAGTAAAAGACCTAGATCAATTAACCATTTTAATGTGTACGATTCAGTGGTATTTAGAAGTTTCACAGTGTTGTGCAGTCATCACCACTCTCTAGTTCCAGAACTTTACCATCACCCTAAGGGAAACTTCACACACATTAAGCAATTGTCACTACCTGTTACCTCCTCCCCACAAGCCCTGGGCACCCACAATCTGCTTTCTGTCTCAATGGATTTATCTACTCTGGATACTTCATATCAATGATTTATACAATCAGTGATCTTTTGAGTCTGGCTTCTATCACTTGCATATTTTTGAGGTTCATTTCCATTGCAGCATATATCAGTACTTCATTCCTTTTTATGGCTGAACAAAATTCCACTGTATGGATATACCACAATTTATTTATCCAGTCATCCATCAATGGGCATTAGAGTTGTCTCTTCTTTTTGGCTAGGCAACGGGCAATTTCAAACAGTGTACACTGCAAACAACGCGGTAATGGGAGCCTCCGCATTGGGTAAACTCATTACCTGGGGAGGTGCCTGTGTGTACGCGAGGGGCTGTACACGGCCTGGGCTGGCCTGGGGTGAGAGCGCGTGCAGAGAGGGGAGGAAACGAGCCGCAGACGCAGCTGGGGCCGGATGCGTGGGCCTAAAACACTGACGGGCATTTCTACCAGATTCCCGTTCTGGCCTCCCTAAATCCTTCGTTTCGGACGGTTTTGCAGCCCGACCTCCGCAGCTCCGCCCGCAGCGCCCAGGTTCCGTCCGGAAACGGGCGTCGGCTGGCGCCCCCTCCCTCGGTTCAGCGGGCCTGATCCGGGCCCGGCCGGGTTCCCTTGCGAACACCACGTGCGGATTGTCACCTCGCCCCCCCGCCCGGTTCTCGAGGCTCCGTCAGCACCCAGCGGGGCTAATAAGAGCTGAACTTATTAACTTTGGGGGGAGCTGCAAGGGCTGCGCGACGGGCCCATCCCATTTTGGTGGGAACCCAGAAGCACAGCGCGGCGCCCGAAAGCACAAGCGCCTCCCGGAGGCCCGCGCCTGTACCTGGAGCAGGTGGGACCCCAGCTCGCGGCCCACGTTGTCCAGGGGGCTGGTCCGGCTCGAGTGGCCCCATGCCTCGCCGAGCCCTGTGGAGACACAGAGACACGCTTTAACGACGGCACTCGGGCCCGGCCGACGGTCCGAGACTAGCCCCGCGGTTGGGGCGCACGGCAAGCCTCGCACGCCGGACCAGCTACCCCCCGGCTCGCCCTCCCTGCCCACGGAGGGCGGGGAGGCCCCTGGCACGGCACCCCTTGCGGGAGCTTTTGCGTAGTTCGCTGGTGTATTTAGGGGGGTGCGGGGCACGATTTCTCACCCAAAGTTTCACCCTGGTGCTTATGTGGAGGCAGTGAATGTCTGCACACCCAGCGCAGGCCGCTGCCTGCCTGGAGCAACCTGAGGCGGTGTCCCGCTGGTCCCTGGCAGGCTTTCTAGTTGGCGGCGGGTCTCTCCAGCCATTTTCCTGCCCTCTTCCTCAGACTTGCATCCCCTTTGGAAAAATCCGTTTGCTTGCGGATGGCTTCCTCCTTCCTACGCCTCCCCTCCTAATCCCGCCTTACACATCCTCACCTCACGTCCCCAAAGAAGCCACATAGCCATTTTCGTCCTAAGTCAGTTCCTTTCCGGTGCTAACATCGTTTTTGCAATATGTTCGATCCCTTCTGGATAGAGAGAATCAGTCCGTTTCTCTACTTTTCAGGTTTCATCTATTACAAAGACGGCCCCTTCCTGCCTTTGATGCGACCATGTTAAGTAAGATCTTTCCAAGCTTTGCCACAAATCATTTCTCCGGTGATGCCTCAAAAATAAAACTCTCAGGGCTGCCCGTGGCTGGCTTTCAAAAAATTAATAGGGAGTCGGCTCTAGATACCTGTTTGGGAAAATAAAATGAAAAACGAGGCAGAAGGACCTTCCCCAGACCAAAGGTAAATTACTTACGGGTAGTATCTTTTAACAGTGTTGCTGCTGAAATTAATTTAACTAGGTAGTTAAACTCCTTTATGCTTACATCATTAAACGAGGTTTAACATGACAAAAAGGGTGTGTGTGATTTACTGGTTTAGTGCATTAGGGGGCAAATCACTACGAACTACACAATGACAAACACACTCGTCTGGTAACATGGGGGTGGGGGCGGATCTTTCAGAATTAAACGTGGAGTTGGACTCTTAAAACGTGTTGGCCAGGAACTGCTTCCTAAGCAAGCGATCAACCCCCCCGGTAACGAGTAACCGTGAGCCCCCCTTAAGCTAAAATCGGGTCTTTCTGGGTGTTTGCACATCTAAATAAATCTAACGATTTCCCCAGCGCTCTGCAAACACTGGGGCCCCCGCCCGCGCTCGGACCCCCCTCCCTCCCTGGCGTAGAGCCCACCCCTCCGGCCTCCTCAGCCCGCCCCGGTTTCCCTCCCTGGAGTGACTCCCGGGCCCTGATCGGGGGTCCTCGCGGACCCTTCCGGAGGGCCTCTGCCTCAGCCACCGGGACACAGCCCTTGGCCTGGTCCCCGTCCCTTCGCGGCGCCCGTCTCAGCCGCGCTGTCTCCTTGGGTTCTGGCGCGAGGTGCTCCTCCTTTCACCCCCGCTCACACGGACCCACCCAGAGGTGGCCGGGGGCACGGGGAGAAGGGCTGTAGAGGCCGAAACGGGGAGAAGGGCCACACTGGGGGCGCGGGGACGCGGGGGCGCTGGCCCTGGGGCGCCGGGGGCCCGCCGAGGCCCGAAAGCCCAAAGCCCCCCAGGGGCACGGGAGGCGGCGGAGGCCCGGCTGCCTCTGGCATCCTCGGCCGCAGCTCCCCGAAGGATGCGAAGCCCGCAGTGGAGGCCAAACAAAGTCTTCATCTGAAACGATGAAGTTTCCCCAACCCTGCTGGAAGACGCCCGGGAACGGCCTCCGCCCCGAATCATCTGACAAGGCCCCGAGCTGGGCTCGGGGTTAAGTGCCGGTTCCGAACTCCCCGGCCAGCCCCGGCTGTTTGTTGTGCCGGGTTGCGGCCTCATTAGTGTGCGTCTACGCGGGAAAAATAAGACTTCCCGGCAGGTTAATAAACAACCCGCCCGGCGCTGGTTACCCAGCCCCCCCCCACACACACACCTCTCCTGCCCCCTTCCTCCCAGCCCCCACCCCCCCTTTTAGGGAACCTTTTGCTTTCACGGAGCATTGCCTTCTCTTTATGCTCCTGGTCGAAATCTCCGTCCCACGGTTCTGTCTGGGTTAATGTTTTATAAAGGGCTGCCTGCCCTGCCCGGGTCCACCTGGCGGGCGCTCCTGACCTCATACTAGGGCAGAGCTTGTCCTTCGGCCTGCCAGGACCCCTTCTGCAGCCCCAGTCACGGGCTCTGCCTCCGAAAATCCTGGAGTGGGCCAGAGACCCCTCTCCCGGGACCCCCTCTCATGCTGCCTGCGGTGACGCGCTCCCGCACCCAATTTCGGTTGGGGGGGTGGGGTAAGCTGAGATTTCGTTTCTGCACTTGACCTACCGCAGAAAATTCGCAAATCCTTTGATTGTCTGTCTAAAATGAGGAGGAAACCAGCTCTCTTTGCAGCAGGATTACAGTGGGAACAAGATCTAAAGATTCTCTTGTAATTCGGGGAGGCCGAGGGAGCGGGGTTTTGCAAAGGAGAAAAGGAGCTCCGCGAGGGAGGCGATAACTAAATCGGGTTTTAGACAAAAGGATTTTCCCCAGCTAAAGTGGCCGAAGACAAAGGAAAACATAATCTATTTTGGAAGATTTCCAAGATATGCCACATTAACCTCAGCAGATAAATTTTGCTTCTCCCCACCCCCCATTTTCCCTTAAAGTCTGGTTTATCATATTTATATAAGTAGTATTAGAAGGGATGTATCTATTATGGATCTAAAGGGCTAGCTCACATTTCATGCGAAAACCGGGCGAAGTTTCACTGTTGCTTTACCCCCAGTGCGCGGTTGAGCCATTTCCATTTAAATACCCCCTGACCCAAGGATTACCTCAATGGACTGACTGCACGGGTTTTGTAATTTCCTGAAAATGAGATTTCGATTTATAAAACAAGAAACCAATTAGTAACCAAATGAGGCGAAGTAGATCCACTAAAATTGACCTAATCCCACAGGCACAATTTAGGCCCGTTCTTGGCGAATGAATGATGAGCCCCAGTCTAGCTGGAGCTCAAAGCATCACCCAGCTGTGTTATTACAAGCAGCAACAATAAATTGATCGAGCTCTTCCTTCAGAATGAGTTTCATACCCTTGACAAAATACAGATTACGGACCGGGCTGGTCACTACCCCCTTCACTCAGACAGGAAGAAGAAGAAAGGAGCTTGTTCTACTTTTTTTTCTTTAATAAATAAACAATATCTCAATAGAAACGTGCCCTCTTTGTAGTCGTTGCCGGAAACCTTCATGTCTGTGACAGATCGCGATACGCCTTTTAGGAATATAGGGACGGGGGTGCTGCACGAGCCCTTGATTCGACCACAGCTTGGTGGCTGGGGCAGGAAAGGTCTTCAGGGACCGCGCTCCTGGCTTCGGGTTCCGAGGGGGCTTCTCCCAGCCCCCCGGGTTTCCCGTCGGGCCTGTGCGTCCCGGCCGGGGGCTCGCGGCCCAAGCCTCACCGGGCCCGGCAGCCTCGCAGCCTTCGTTTCCGGGCTCCGGGAGCCTCCGAGGCTGGGCTCTCCGGGGTAGACAGGCGCGGAGACGGGCCCCGCAGCAGAGAGCGCGCGCCCGAACGGTCCCGGGTGGGAGGCCGCTCCCCTCGCGGGGGGCGCGCGCACCCCGGCCCCGCGCTGGGCCCCGCCCCTCTCCAGGCCCGCGCGGGCCACCTGGAGGGCGCGGCCGGCCCGTCGAGGGTGTCCCGCACCGCAGCCCGGACCCCACGGTGTGCCCCGCCCGCCCCCGCCCGTCCCCGAGGCCCCAGGGCGGGGAAGCCCCTGCCGGTGGCTGGGAATCTGGGCTGGGGACCGACAGGCAGAGAGCTGACCTTCGCGCGCGCTTGCGGCACTCGTCGCCCTCCGGACCCAAGTGGGCTCCCGAGGGCGCTGCGGGAGAACCCGAGCTGCCGGCACGGGGACAGGCCGAGGTCAACAGGTCCCCCCTACCCGAGGGCGACAATGCTCGCGGGTTGGCAGTGCTGCCCCGCGCGGGGGCCGAGCGGCACCCAGTGGCGTCGCCCCGGGGCCTCCCAGTGCGGCCGGGCGGGGCCGAGCCGCAGCCCAGAGGCGGGCGCTGCCGTGCCCGCTGCGGTCCTCCCCGGCGGCCGGGCTCCCAAGGCCGCGCCAAGGCCGGCTCCGGCGAAGTCCCGGCCTACGGCGGGCGGGGATGTCCCGGAGGCCGGGCGGGACAGAGAGCTGGTCTGGCGTGGGCACCAAGCAGACACGGTGCGGAGGCCGCGCTGATCCCGCCGCGCTGCGGCCACGGGGGTGGCGCGGGCCGCCGCGGTGGGGAGGGAAGGGGCCGGCGCAGCGTACGGGCCTCTCCCGCTGGGCGCTCTGCAGGCGCCGGACACGCTTCCACGAGGTCTCTGTTCCTGGTCTGGTCCGAGTCACCGAGGTCGAGCAACCAACTCCCCGCAGGAACCGCCGCCCCGTGGGGCTAGCTGCGGAAGGCTTGCCCCTGGGTCTCTGATATTGCGTTAGTACTTTCTAATTAGCAGTCACATTTGCTAAATAACTGAGGGTTCCTCTCCCCAAGATTTTAAATTCCATGTATCAGACTGGTAATGGGTGGACAGCTAAAAATCACGAGGGTGTTAGCTGGGTTTAAACCTCATTCTCTTAATAAAATACCTGGGCCGACAGACAGAGAAATGCGACAAGACTCCATGCGCTCGAATTCCCTGTCTGCACTTGTGTCTGCAAAAAGCTCTGAAAAATAACTTCCCTAGAAACCAGGTTTGCCCCCTGGAAATGTAGCCTGATTTTAGCTTCAGATGAGTGAGTGTACACTGCTTTAAAGCATCCCACCATAGCTCATGACCCCCTGTTTATGTTATTGTTTTGTATTGCTTTTACTTGTGATCACTTCTTTAAAAGAAGGATTTTTTCCATTGATCTGATCTACAATTTCTAGCACATAAATCTGCCCTGCAAATGCTGTGTATGGAGTTTAGTTCTGCACTCCATGTTTTAAGTCAACATCAAAACTGGAATTAAACAGAGAAAACCAGCGTGGAGCGTAAACTGGGCTTAAAGGCTTTTAAATGAGAAAAACTTCTGTAAGAAAATAAACATGGAAACCTAATGCTCAATCATTTCCCGGAGCAGCAAGAAAAACAGCCTTAAATCACCCATCCACGTGGGAAATGGGGCCTTTTTTTTTACCCTTTCAGTCCTAGGCCTCAAAAAAATATATAGGGTGATTAAGGATTTCAATCTTGAGGTGCATATTATAGAAAGGGTCTGTGGAAGTTTGTTTAATCATCTTAGTCCTTCCGGCCTTTCTAGAGATCTTCTTTCTCCCACATAGTTACTAATTTCACTTGTCATTATTTTAATTTTTCCCAAGACATCTTGACAAGGAAATAGTAGTGTGATGTTACCAAGATTCTGAATGACTATAGACTTGAAAACATGTCTGATTCTTTCAAAGGTTATTCTTCAAGTCACCACGCCCCCAGCCAAAACTGTATTACAACTGGATAACACATATATATTTCTTTCTGGTTGAATTTGTCCTGTTTTTCACACAAATAAAGTCACATATCTCTTTCTTTATCCTGCCTTTCTGGCTTTGATAATACCAAAGAATTGTACATTTCTAGATATCTCAGTTTCTACTGTGCAGGACTACTTAAAATAGATTATATGTTGCCAATTGGGAGATGTGTAATTTTAATGATTTCACAGTAATATTCCCTGAGATTAAAAAAAACAGGAAATCTCTGATCTACTGCTTTATTTTTAATTATTCCAAGCACCCATATTCCATTGCTCTGTTCTCTCTCACGATCCCTCTCCCCACCTCTCTCTCCCAGTTTCTCATTTTTCCCCCGGCAGCTCAATGTTATATACTCAGATAAATAGAAGCTGTAATTTGGTCCCAGACAAGGTATCTACTAGACCCTAGGGGGAAAAAATTGCATTCAGCAATTGAGCAGGAAGGGGAATTAGCTATATTTTAAGGATTAAAAAAATTTTTTCAAATAGAAGCATAGGAGGATTTTGTTTGTTGATTTAAGCTATTTTGACATTACAGGGTATCATAGAGGAAATGTAATATGAGCAAAAACTGGACTTTTATAGTCATTGTTACACCTATAACTAAGATGTCATCAGATTTTTAATTAATTTAGATTATATGCCTTGCAAAATCCATATGTCACAAGTGATAGAATGCTTAAAGATGAAAAATTTTTATATCATCTTTAAAACAACATTTTCTTGAAGACCTACTATGTGCTAGGATGCCATGTAGATGTAAAAATCAACTTCATCTGCAAACATTTTTTTCCATTTCTCATCAGTAAAAAATATTACCACCAAATAAAGCGCTTGGTTCCCCCCATTGCCAATGGACCCCATCTTGTCCAGCCTGTCTTCCCTCAATAGCTGAACCCATATTTGGCGCCCTCTGCAGGTTGCGCCTGGTTCTGCGGCTTGTGAATTTTAGTCGTTTGAAATCTGTTGTGTTTTTGTTTTTGTTTGTGTTCTTGTACTTTAATATCTGTAAGGACTGTGTTTGGGCTTTGGATTTTTGAAGCTAATCTATCCTCAAAATTAAAATTCGTGCCTAGGAGACAGCTGTTGCGATGACCCTGTCTAATTCACTGGGTGGAGGCTGCGGGTGAGTTATGAGCTCAACAGTAGCTGGAGAAATAAATGATGGGCCCAGAGTTCACACATCGCCCACCCCCTCCACCCCATAAACTCACACTCGTCCACAGAGGAAGGGAGAGGAGGGAGGCGCGGGGCCTCGGGCTTGGAGAAAGGTGAGGGGCTGCGGAAAGCACAGTCGCCTTAAAGTAGCCGCAGGAGACCGGCCTGGCCGCCCAGGGGCCCCCAGCGGGAGTCTCCACCAGCACTCTCTTTAAAAATAACGAGAAGTTGGCCAAGAGAGCTTATTTTTTGTTTCTCCTATTTATTTATTATGCGGTTTATAATTGGTGGAGTTAGCACTTAATTAAACAAGAAAGCTTGCTCTCTTAAAAACAAAATCAAAACAACAAAACCCAGCTGGATCGCTCCTGGCCGCGCCTGCCCGGGTCAGCACGACACTGACCAGAGCCGCCGACGTGGCGGCTCCCGGGCGCCCCCGTCCCTCTCTGAGCCCGCCCGGATCGGCGACCCGCTATTCTTCTCCTCCCGCGATGAGTCGCAGCCCCACAAGCAGCACCATATGCTGCTCCTGATCAAACACCAGCGACATTGGCACGGATAATTGACGAGACCCGCTCGAAATCACGCAGAAAGGGAGCCCACTGAGACCGCAGGGGCGGACAAATCACTGCTAATAATCCTGTTAGGGGCAGCGCGGCCCGCGGAGTGCGCAGTAGCTTAATTTTTATAAAGTAGGAGCTGACAGTATAAAAGACAACGAGATCGAGATCTCTTTTTTTTTTCAACAGAAGACAGTGTAGCATAATTGTAATTTTCCTACCAGCAATCCTCAGCATATTTTGAATGGGAAATAGGGCTTTTAATACTAATTTGCCCTTCTTTTTTCTTTCTTTCTTTTTCTTTTATTTATTTTTTAACCTTTCGGGTACTTTAAGCTTTGATTCCTCTCCTGTGCTTTCCAGAATCTGATGAGATTGCTCAAGGAAAGGCTTTAAGAGAAAACGACTATAACCCTATAGTTTTGGGATAAAACTGAACTGTAATTTCAAGTTTGCCTTTAGTACCCCTGACTAATTGAGGGCACGTTTAGCAAAATTTCAGTTCAGATAATAACTTTTAGTCAAGATCCAGGAAAGTGAAATCCCAAAGCTAATAATGACTATTTTCCTTGCCCCTATTTCCTTAAAAGAAAACAAGTCCGAAACACCCAAAATCAACAATAACAAAAACCGCTGTGGGTCAAATGAGAAGTTTTGGTTTGTAAATAAACAGGATTCTTTCTCTCAGGTTTTTGTTTGTTTGTTTAGTGTTCTCTCTTTCACATTTCCAAGTTTCCTTTCCCCAGCAAAGATCCATCTATTTTTTTTAAAGTTTTCTCATTTTATTTAAGTGTAGGCCAAGGAAATGATTGGGGAAATGGAAAGAGAGAGGTGACCTCTTCCTAGCCGGCATAGGTGACTTTATACGGGACAGTGTTCTCTGAAGGCCGCTTTGTCCTCACACAATGAAGCTTGATAATCTAAATACTCCTCCTAAATCACGTCAGCAGCTCAGCTCTTCTAACTTTTAGGCCTTATAAGACAATTTTCCCAGGATCTGTTTGCCAACCTGCCACCTAGAAGATATTTTCTCAGCAGGGGAGCATTCTTAATTTAATCTTAGGTATTTGGGGGCCTAGCCTCTTAGTTCAGAGATATTATCAAGCCCAGAGTTGCAAATCACCAAGTCCCAGAGTTACTTTCAGAATCTTGTGGATGTCTAAAAAACAACTCAGACTAAATTTGCTACAAGCAGTCCCGAGACGAGGTAAATTCAGGCCATATTTGTCCATGACTACACCTGCTCATGTGTAGAAATACGGACACAGGAATTATTACCTGTCTTAGCTACTACATGTACATGGTTCTCTCCTCATGGAGCACAAATACGAGAATTTGGCAGTGTTCCTGCTTTCTACTAGATACAATCTAACAAGATGAGTAAAAAAAAAAAAAAAGAAAGTCCTGTTTGTATTAGTAGTACTTTGACTTGGGCCCAGTTTCTGAAGCGTTGACAAAAGCCCTATTGGGCGGCTTCCCAACCAAACATATCCGAGGGACTGAAGAGAAAGCATTAATGGGGCAGTAGAAGGAGACACAAAAAGTCGACGGGAATTGCAGGGGCCTTAGACGCAAAGCTAAACTTCCCTTGCACGGTGCGTCTGTGCCAATGCACTCACTCCTCTGCCCCGCGGTGTATGCAGGCTCACGGGCTGCCTGGCAAATCGGGTAGGAACCCCTTCAGCCTTTGCAAGTCCGTCTGGGCAAAGCCACTTACCTTCTGGGAACACTACTCTCATTTTGAGGTAGCTGGTGGTGAGCCTGATGATGGATGCTTTGTCCAGCTGCGAGGTGATAGCCGAGGGCAGAGGCAGCAATTTAGCCAGTTCATAAAACTCACTGTTCTCCTTCTCTCTCCTAGTCCGGGCAGCATTTTTGGACTTCTCTTTCATTGTGTCTCGTTCCCCCTTTCTTCTTACCGCATAAGCTCCACAGATTCATCCAAAAGCAAAAATAAGCTTTCAATTAGAGATCATATTTGGCAAAAATACAAAGCATACTTTGAACGAAGAGACGGAAGTCTTTGCTTCAGCGTATCGATGGTAGCAAATGACCAAAGCCTCGAACGTAAAGGTATTCTCTTTAAAAACGTGGGATTCGGGGACACGAAAGTGGCTGATCCACGCAATCGGGGCAATCCTCGAAGTCTCAAATGCCTGCGGGGCTCCTGAGGAGCCAGCCTTTTCTCCGGTTCGGCGCCTCGTACCCGGGTTCTCGGAAAGTCGACATCATAATCCCCGACGGTCGGCTCTCCAGTCCCGGGCGTCTGGCGCGGCCCCGAGCCTCCGGGAGGAGCAGGAGCGCGGGACAAACTCCTTCAGGCCTCTGTGAAGACAACCGCACCGGGGCGTGAGGGACCCGCGGCTGCACAGTCCCTGCTGCCCCCTCCGAGAACCAGCCCGCGAGGGCCTCCTGCGCCGTGCTCGCCGTGCTCGGTACCGTTTGTTTTCTAAGGTACCGAGAAGTCACCGCGAGGCTGAGCCCCCTGCAAAGAAGGCTCGCACGCCGTCGCCCAAGCTGGCCCCCGGGAAGCCGCCCGAACTGCACGCTGCCTCCTTCTGGAGGCCCCTAGGAGCCCTTCCGTCCCCCACTCGGGCAGACCTGGGCTGGGCTCCCTCTCTAACCGGGGTCTCAGGTCCCCGGATTCCCCTGAAAGTGGCACTTACACATCAGGTCCCTCGGGACTCGCAAGGCGACCCAGCGCTCTCGCTGCCCAGCAGGGGCGGCGGCGACTCGCCGGCCGGGCAGCGCCAGGTTAACAGGTGGCACGTTCGCGACAGCCCCTCGCGGGCCCGGGGGGCGGGGGAGGCGCCCGGCCTCCTCCCCGAGGCAGGGCTGCCCTCCGCGTCACCTACCTTCAGTCCCCGCGGGCGGCGGAGGGTGCGGAGGCGCTCCCCTCTTAATGGCACTCATGCCCACCGTGCAGCAGCTGAGCAGCTCCGCCGGCCCCCCGGCCTCCCGCCGGCGGAGGGGAGCAGAGCGCGCCCCGGCTCGCTTCTCTTTCCTTGGTCATGGATTGGGGAAGGGGTGCGCGGAGGCAGGAGGGGGATGCGGGCTCTGGGACGTGAGAGGTGGTTCAGACTCCTCCTCAGTAGCCGCCACGAAGCCGGTATTAGTCCTAATTGGAGGCTGAAAACGCCCCCCTGGAACTTCTTTATAGCTTAGGGGGTTTAGCTCCAACTTCACTCCCGGCCTCCTCTCGCCAGCCCTCCCTCAATGCCACTCACAGACCTTTTCGCCTCCGATTGGCTCGGCGCGCCCGGGACGCGGCGCCCATTGGCCGGCCGGGTTGAGTGGCGTGGCGCGCCCCGCACGCCCCCACCCCAGCACGCCCCAGCTGCGGACCGGCTGCCCGGCTACCCGCGTGGATGCCGCCCTCCTAACGAGCCCCTGGCACTAGGGTCCACGCGGCCCGGCGGCCGCCACCGCTCCAGGCCTCCGGGGCCTGGCGGCCGACGTGCAGGACCCGCGGGTCCCGCGCTCGCTGGGGTCGAGCGGCTGCGCACTCAGCCCGGAATCCCGGCCGCGCAGTGCCGGGAACGCCCGAGGCGCAGAGGAGGGGCCGGGGCTGGGGCTGCCGCAGGCGGACCCGGCGGCCGCCCCCTTCTCGTGGGCGAGTCACGCGGCCCACCGCTGGCGCGGGGCCGGTCTGGGCTTTTATTTTCTCTTTCACGTTTCTCTTGAAATCACAGCGACACCGCATTCATCGCCAGAGAAGATAAATACACCTGTCATTAAATTAATCCCAAAGAGGAGAGTCTTCTTCGAAATGGGTCCATTTTGGGGGCTGATTTGTTCACGGTGGAAAGCTCAGCCATGGGGTTTTTTCTTTGGGGAGCAGATAGGGGACGGTCGTGGAAAAGAGGTTACATTTCAGGCCAAAAGAGAGTTAGGCTGGGTGACACGTGGATAGCTATCTCACAGCGAACCATCCGTTATCTTAAACGTGAACGAAGACTTTTTATTGGGTTTTGTTTAGGGAAGCTGAAGTCCAACCTGAATATTCCTTCCAGAAAGGATACAGTCTGCACAAATGAATTTACAAGATTCACAATTCCCCACCAGGAGCCGTTTAAGCAAAACTCTTATAAGTACTGCTGCAGACAAATTATATTTGAGGGATCCTCCGATTTGAATCGCCTTCTCTCTGCCATCTGAGGAAAGACCACAGACAGCAACGGGAAAAGGTTGACTTGCCCCCGAAGATGCGAATCATTCCCTGCAGACAACGACTCCCTGCCTGGTTTTGGGGCCGCTGTGGCCGCCGTTCCGCGGAGGCGCACCTGGAGGTGGCTGTTTCAGGGGCACGGTTGCCCCGCTCCTGTCCTCTGTGGCATTAATTGCCTCCGAGAAAACATACACTCCGAGGAGGGGTGTGTGGCTTTCTTCCGATATTTGGGACAATTTTAAGGGTGTTTGTTCAAAAATACAGACATCTGCTCCCTCCTTGCTGCCCGCTGGCAGAACGCTGGAAGAGCCACACGGGTCCCTCGTGGGGTATTTACACATCAGGAGAACACCTGTCAAGAGGAGGTGAACGTTCAGGATAGAAGAAAGAATGGGACGAAGAACTAGACATAGAGATTTTGTAGGTGTTTCAGAACCGGAATCCCGCTGAACGGTGTCCAGTCTGGAAGGGGGGAGTTAGTTCCCGCAAGGCTGCAGCCAGAGACCCGGCTCCGGGCGCGATGCAACCGCCAAGTGATGCCTCTCCGCAAAGACGGGTGGGAGCACAGAGAGGTGTGCTGTGGCTCCCTGTGCAGGACGTTCTCTGGCTCCCTGGTCCAGGAAGACCAGATAAGATCAAGTTAACTACTGCCTGTAAACTGGGGGTGGGCGGGGGTGTCTGGAGAGAGGACCCTTCTTTCCCCCGCCACGCCCCAACCTGGACAGAGCTTTAGGGTGAAATGGAGGGGCCAGTTGAAGCAACGGCACTTCAGGGGGTAAGAAGCGGCTTTCTAGGTCGGACAGTGTTCCAGAAAGGATTTCAATTAAGTCAGCAGCTACTATAAACCTTCTCTCTGCGTCAGAAAAAAATGCAGGGGCCATTAGTGTGTTTCTGGCACCTGAAACCCTTGCCCAGAGCAGGGACTCGTAGGCGGCGGGGATGGGCGGCAGCAGCACCTGGACCCCACGCCGGTCTTGTTCCACGCAGAAGAAACGCAGTATTTTACTTTAGAAACAAGATGGGCAAAAGAGTGGAAAAACTTCACACAGGAGACGAAGTGCTGCGGAGCCAGGCGGGCTGCCCAAGCGTCCCAAGGAAGCTCGGGAATGAATGGACCGAATAGACGTCGTTTAATAAAAAAAGTGAATGCACGGCCATGTGGCGACGGCCCCGCGCTAAGTCCTGGGCACACAACTCTCTGAGCCGCGTTTACTGAGGGTGAATTAGCATGGCTACGGGACACCTGTTTTTCTGATCTTTGAACCGGGCTGGAGCAGGGAGGCGGCCCCTTCCCTTGCACGCCGGGCGCAGGGACCCTGCCTCATGCCCCCCATCCCCGCGACCCCGCCCACCGACCCCGCAGGAGCCCGGGACCCGCTGGGGGCGCGAGCCGGAACCTCAGGTGTCCCCCACGCGTCCTGGCAGTTGTTGTTGGCCTCCCGCACGGGACATTTAAAATTTTTTTCTTGAGGCAGAGAGGCTAATCCCACCCGTCTCTTTGCCAGTGTAAGCGGAAAGCCCCAGAACGGACAGAGACGGGCACACGCGACCCCACCAACCCCGCGGGAATCCTGCGTGTCTAGGCCGCCGCCCCCTGCGCGGCCCCGGAACGCTATCCGCACGCAGAAAGACACCGGAGACCGTCTATGAACAAACACCCTGCTGCCCCCCACCATGGAGGGTAAGCAGCCTGGAGGGACCGCCGCGCAGCATCCCCGGGAGCCTCTCCCACCTCCGGGGGGCCGCGGACGCTGCCAGGGGCTGTGCCCAAGGGCACGTCGTGCCCGACGCGGCGCAGCTCCCCGACTCGCCTGTGCGCGCAGGGCCCCGCGCGCCTGGGGCAAAGAGGAGGGGGCCTCCTGACCCATCCCAGCATAGGGCGAACGCCAGACCCGAGAAGCTCAGCTCCTGGGTACTAATAACGCGGGAGCGGCCCGCGGAGTTCCGGGCAGGCCGCCGAGCTGGGCTTCCACGCAGCGACCCGACCTGGGCGCGGTGGGGCTCCCGGCCCTGCTCCGGCGCAGGCCTCCGTCCTGCCTCCTGGGAACTTCTCCGGGTCCTGCGCTGCAGCATTTTATCAAAAGCCGAGTGATTGCTGTCTCCCCTCCTCGTCTGCCATAACACACTTTTTTAAAGACAGACTGTTAGAAACTCACACGTGCACTTCTACACGCTTTCACATCACATGTACACAATTGTACAAAGCACTTAGGCACGGATCTTACTCAATGGCCAAGGTCAGGATGGATATATGCGTTATCAAGATGCGAACATCTGAAGATGGTCAGCTAAATATCTCTATGTTACATCCACACGTTCACTCTCTACCACTGTAAATGAGAAATTCTCTAGGGCATATTAATGTCTAGGCTGATACTAACATTTACATATTTAACCGTGTAAGTGAATCCTGCTCTAGCCCTATTTTATTACCCCATTTAGAAGTCGTGATGTTGAGGCACAAGGGCTCCTTACAACACTGACCAAGTGGGGCAAGTCTACTAGAAAACAAAGGAAAGCAAGCAGCTCTAAAATATATAGCTCTATTTAATACGTTAAAAATTACGGTATTGTTTGTTTGATCAGGAAGTTTTGGGAAGAATAAGATATTTTATGCAAAAAACAACACAGCCCTCTTCTGAGGCACTGCCTCTCGCGTGCCTGCCTGTATTGCCAGTGGAATGTCCAAAAAATGAGCTTCAGTGGAAAAGAACAAAGAAAACGTACCAACGTGCGTAATGAGAGCGGCGAATGCAAGTAAGGGTTGTCTGTAGTTTCCCTAAATCTACTGGATAATATTTTCCACTCGGGTTTTGAAACCATACTTGGTCACCGAGAAACAAGAGGGCTTCTTAAACTGTACACAACCTCAAAAGAACTGAATTGTTCAAACGTTATCGGTAGCTGAAAAAAATCTGATGGCGGGCATTCTGAGGACAGAAGCGGGGTGGGGGGTGCTTGCCGCTTGGGGCGCAGCTATTTCCAGACTTTTCTAGAAATCGAGCCGGGCACGCTGCGATGTGTGTGTGTGTGTGTGTGAGAGAGAGAGAGAGAGAGAGAGAGAGAGAGAGAGAGAGAGAGAGATTCAGAAAAGCCGGGTTCAGGAGCACAGCCAGGGGGTTCAAGAGCTGAAGATGGACGTTGGTGTGTGACTTTGGGCTTCCGATTTTCAGGCCAAGTGGTGCGCGGGTGCACTTGAGACGTGCATGCCAGGTCCGGGAAGGCGGGGGGCCGGAAGGGGGCGGAGTGTGGCCAGCGGCCTCCCAAAGGGCGGAGGGGCATCAGAATTGGGTGGATTTGGAGGGCGTGAGCCTCTCCCCCGACCCCCTGGCTGTGACGGCCTTTGGATTAGGTTTCTGGGGAGTTTGCCCAGAGCCTAAGCTTTGAATCCAGCCCGTGGACCAGAGGACCCGGGACCCTGCCGCGAGGGCCTGAAGAGACCCCTGGCCTGCACTCACAGGCGAAGGGGGTAAGATACCCCCTTGGGGCCGATCCCTCTAATCCGCACACGGGTGACCAGCTTCCAGACCTGCCCGGGCCTCAGGGTCACCTGCGGTGGAGGTAGCAGCGGAGCGCGGCTCTCACATCCGGATCCACGGGGCCCCTTTGGTCGGGGCATCGGATATCCCGCGGGACCCCGGAGCTGGCGTTCCGCGTGGCGCGGAAGGGACGGTGGGGCGGGCAGGCGGGGGTGCGGAGGGGTAGGGGCAGGAGGAGCAAGCGCCGCCCCCGACTGCGCGGTCGCGGGGGAATCCCGGGAAGCACCTGGGCGCGCGCCGGGGTCCGGCCCGAGGGCCTGGGGCGCAATCCCGAGTCCTACCGTTGCTCCACGCATCACCTCTGGGCGCCAGGACAAGGCACCGTGCCCTTGAAAATCTTGACGCTCTCGCTCCTTGCTGACGGTTTGCATCTTGAGCTTGCGTGGGAATTGCCTGGAGGGCCTGTTAAAACACAAATTGCCGGTCC